GATTGGCGAGCTGAACATCAAAATAGAAAGCGGCGGAGCATTAACAGGTTGTTATATACAAACATTAAAAGAGTGATTTGCGTAAAGAACTGTCATTGTTATCGATCGAGGTGATGAAAGAGAACGGGCTGGAAAAAGTCAGAATACACTACATTAAATAATATGGCTTTAAATCCATGTGTGATAAACAGATAAACAATCTTCTGCTTGAAGAATTTTAACAACACAGCTATATCTATGAACAAATCCCATTAGTAATATTTTATTTATTTATTTATATATGTCAAAAAAAAAGCTGTCAATATAGCACTTTAACTAAGTAAAACTAAAGAATAATAGAAAGAAGCTTTTAAAAATTACAAAAACGTCTCATAACGAATCCGACTCTGCCAAACGGCCATCTATGCCCCGATTCACAGCAAAGAGTAATCAGAGACGTTATTAGACCTAACAAAAAATAAATGAAGATGAAGAAATAGCAATAAAAATATAGAAGAAGAATTATTAGATTAAAACAATAAGAGTGCAAATTAGTTTTAAATATAAAATTCCAAATAAGCAAAACCAACCAATAGTTCAGAACATATTCAGTCTTGTTTCCGGATTAGACTATGTAAATCAATTCTTAGATAACTCGTGGATATTATTATTCTTTTTAATAATGCGAATCTACACTGATAAAAAAGTTGCTTAGCACAGATGAATATTTTCATATTAAATTAAAGATAATTAATTGGTAAGAATTAATAATTAAAAGAATTGGAAAATTACTTTCCGCTAAAAATCGTGCTATACAAAATATATATATATATATAAAATGTGCATTATTGAAATGTCGTTATTGAAAAGAGTTAAAGTAGACAAAAAGGTGGGAGAAATATTTTATAATTATAAAAATAAACCTTTGGCGTGAATTAAACTCACGTCCATGTCATCATTTGTGATTTAATATCGTCACACTTTAAATTTAATATTTTAACATTCAACTTGGAGTTCAAGCGTACACACTTTAAATCACACGGTGGTGCAAAATCGATGGTAAAAATATTTAAATCTACATGTAAATATTTAAATCTACCTATAAATATTTAAATTTACGTGTTTTTTTTTTATCAGTGTGCGTCAGTAAGCCAAAGTTTAGTTTGAATGCAAACAGTCGAAATAAGCAAAACCAACCAAGAATAGTTCAGAACATATTCAGTCTTGTTTCCGGATTAGACTATGTAAATCAATTCTTAGATAACTCCGGCTTATTATTATTCCATTCAATAATGCGAGCTTGGTAAATAACAAAAGTGCTGGATGTTGGAAGAATTGAAAGCGAAAAGTCCAAATAACCAAGACAGTTGAAATAAATTGGGCTTTTGATCACATTAACCAATAACATTAATCCTTGGCCGCCTCTGCCCCAAACGAATAGCATTAGTGTGACCAAGTCATCGCAACTTGACCGCAATGAAATCCATAGCAAAAGTCAACAACTACGGCCGGACACTGCGTCCAATGGCCATTGAATGGCGGCTGGTGCGAAAGCAAGTGGTTGGTGTGAAAACCGCAAAGCCCGCAAAGCCCGTGCTCGTCTAATACCGCAGCGTGTACCCGTGGCTGCTTATGTGGTGAGGTAGCGAGCTGCCGGGAGGACTTTTACAAATCCCACACACTAGCTCATGTCGGTAGCTGGTCTATCTCTCGCCTCGTCCAGCAACAAAGGCTGCAAAAGCAACATCCGTTGTTGGCTTCCGTTTGTCTCTGCGGCTGACAGGAAGCAATCAATAGTGTAATGGCAGACAAAAGCATCCGCTTTATTCGCCAACGGCTATTGGCATAGTTGTCCGGTGAAGAAGGTAGGCAAATGTTGAAAAAGTCCGACGAAAAATGCGTTGCAAACCAAAAACAAAAAATCAACTGATGGCTGCGCAATTTGTCAACACTTTTCGGAAACATTTGCTGGCACTGTGAGGAGATCGACGACCGGCATGTCCTCCCACTCGCCCCCATGTTTGCGCATAATTCAGGGCTTTAAGCAAGGCGTGCATTAAATCGTCGCCGTAGCTTTGTCGCAAATAAGGCGTTTTAATCAAAAGAACAACACCAGAAAATCCATTAACGCAGTACGTGACGCCCCCACTTTTCTTTGTTTAACTTTATAAGCCATCCTCAGCTTCCATCCGGCCCTTTACTTTTTGCATGCTGCGCGCGTCATTTGCAGGTTGATTTACAAATTTCTTTAATGAGGCGACGACAACATTTTTAATTAGCACCTGTTCCCAAGTTCCATTTTATGGACTTGCCGGGCCCCACGCAAGTCACAGCTAGCATACTGCGCGCCAATCTCCATAAAATGCGTAGACGTGCTCCATGGAAACGTAGAAATTAATTTCCAACTTTACGCCAGCCTCGCTTTCCTTGCCTTTGACTCCCTCAACCACACGTACCCCAGCTCCAAACACTTGGCCAACTTCCGCCCTAATGATGCCATTGAAATGCTGTGCATGGCACAGTCTGCTTCCCAGTCGTTTTGTCCTTGTGTACAGTTACCAGTCCTAGTCCTAACCCATTTACGCATACATGTGCGTCTCAATGTCGTCTGCTTGTTCGACATCTTCAACCGCAAGGCAGGCACAGCCACTTAGATAGACTCCTTCAATCCCGTGCTCTGCTCATATCTCGAACAACCTAACCCGATTCCAGAGCTTAGCTTGGCTTACAATAGACTACTTGCAGTTCTTCCCTTGTATCTAGTATACGTGCGTATATATGCCATGTTAGGCAAGCTTTGTTTGTGTTTGGCTTTGCCTTGTTTTTGAACCACATGGCGCGGCATTGCCTGCCCCTATCCCCTCCAGCTAGTACCTCTTTCGCTCAATGTTCAATGTTTTTGTTGTTCGGGCAATAATATTTTGTAAGTGTTTCTAAACAAGCACAAAGTCATGTTTCAGCAGCTGTAGTCTGGCTTCTGTTGGTTGCTGTTTTTATTGTTATTTCTACAGCTGCTATGCCCCTATGCTATGATTGTGAATTCCCCGCTGCCTTTGCTAAACTTTCGCTGCACATTAAAGCAATTTGGCCAACATTTATAGACTGATTTAATAGAATGTATGGGGCGGACAGTTGCTGCGAGGGGAGTTCATACTCCACAAGCATTACAATGCACACAAATACAAATGAGATATTTCCACACAAGTGAGCACATGTCTCTGTACCCAACTGTGACTATGTACTACGAGTATGTGTGTGTGTGTGTCTGTGTACTTTGATATAATTGTTTGACTAAATGAGTGCGATCCATGGCTGCCTTTGGCGGGCCCCCAAAAGTGTGCTTCAGTTCGCTTAACGCTCTCACATATGGCTATTCGCTTGGATTTTTGGGCGCACTTGAGTGTGTAGATGCGTTTGTGTGTGTGGTACAACAATAGAGTTGAGCAAGAACAATAATTATGGCAAGCACTTCAGCCACCCGAACCACACGTTCATCCCCATTCTCACCCTCCAATCCTATATGCAACACTCCATACACACACTAATTTCGAACTCCACTTGTTCAGAAATTCATTTAATTCCCAACCGTCTGCTTTAATGCGTTTGTCTCTCCACCAGATAGCTGAAAATAGATATGACTCTTGGCGTTGTCTCCACATTTCTGCGTATGGCGTACGATGCCAAGTATGTATGTATGTTAAGCCATGTGTATTTTGGGGGTCCTTAGGACTGTTTCTCTCGCCAGCCTAGCGGAATTGCTCGATGCCGTTGCCATAATGAGTATGAAATTGAAGTCTAAGCAAACAGAAGCCACCAAGAGAGCAGAGGGAAGATAGAACGCACAATAGGCGGTAGCGGAAAACGTAAAGAAATTAACATAAACATAAAAATCTTAGCAAGTCTGCATCTCCATGGAAATTGAATATTTAATTATACGTCAATAGAAAATTGCGTTAGAAGTCGGTGACGAAAATGGGAAGAGATAATGACAAAGGTGATGAGATGAGGGATAAGGGTAGGCGCCCCTCTCTGAGCTGGAATGTATATAAATAAGCGAAGGAACAGCGTTTGGAGGTGCCAAAAGCTGCTGCCCTGAATTTGGAATGGCAACTAAATTATTCATTGCTATTATGGTGACAATATGCATAGGCCACAAAGTATAACTTTTTCTCGCAGGAGGTCGCAAGGAGGTCAAGTCGCATTCTTAAAGAGAGAATATTATTGGATTTGTTTATGGTCTAACCAAGGTCTAGTTTATGGAGTAACTAACTGATTACTAAGCAGATGGTTCTTAATACTTTACGAATATATTAATGTAAACCACTTCAATTGAAATTGAACAACAACTACTTCTGGGATCCTTGACAGCAGCACGATAAAGAGTAGTCGGTGCGGAACGTTCCATTTGTCTAGCTGCGATACACTCCCAGTCACGGCTATATGTGCTGCAATAAAGTGCCTTTTGCTTATCTAAACAGACTCACATGCTCGCACTCCTCTCAGCCACCCGCACACATGCATGCATACATAATTTTCAGGCATCCTGGCTGTGTGTCTCCACCCACAGCGTCCTTTGGCACAGAATACGTGAGTGCCGCGCCAAACTTACCCCGGCCAACTTGGAGAAGAGCCGTACTGTGGCACCTGGGGTGATGGGGGTGATGGGGGGTGAGGAGCGGGCAGAAAAGCCCCATATTTATGAATGGCTCTTGTTTCGAGCTTAACGCACTCCGGGAGCTTTATCAGCTCGTAAATATAAATTAGAATTTAATTTTTATCGAGTCCTTGAACATGCTAGCTCCACACTACCAATCTCAAGTCACGGGTGTTTGGGACAAATGATTGCGGTCTGGTAGCCAAGGCCACGGCAGCAGGCCGAACTTCAACGGGATTCATTTCCATTTGCACACGGCACGTGTCACAACATATCAAAGGCTGCGATTTACCTCAGGGTGGATGCTTAATCAACCCTCTGGGCAGTGATTTACCTGCTCACTATCGAAGCTATCGTCAGGACTTACCTGTGTCAACTGCGACGATGCGTAGTATGATATTCTCGAGGGACAAACCGATTCTGGTTTCGAGTAAATGGTCTCGCCGGTCTGCGGCTGGTCGCCCATTGGCAGCAAGGCAGTGGCATAGGGCGTAGGAGTGGGTGAGCCGCGGAAACCTGTAGACGAGGGTTTGTGGGCTTCGATAAGTAACAAATGACTCTGCATGGGTGGATTAAGCAAGAGGGGAGGGTACTTACGGTCAAAAATACTACAGGCTTTTTTCGTATCCACTGGGTATTTGTTGAGGCTGGCAATTGTGGCATAGGAGCCTGTTGCGCTTGGGGGTCGGCCTAAGGGGTCGAGCCTAATGAAAACATTTTGATGGCTACCATAGCCCGCAGTTGTGAAGCTGGTGCTGTGAGTTACAAAACCGCCAAATAAGAGTATGTCAAATGCGATGCTTTCAATACGACTTACTGCAAGGAATCCTGGCGCATCTGTTTGCGGGCACGCAAATACATCATGCTAGCCACGAGGCCTACTGCGAGAACCAGACCCAATGCACAGGCAGCGGCGCTCATGAGAGCAGGACCCTGTGACGGGGCGTGTGCGGGGGCTGGCGACTGGTTAGGTTCGGGTGAAATGCCTGGAATCATAGCAAATCAAAGAGAATGAGTTTACCGAGAGCACCGCAGAAATCCTTTCTTCGCCTACCTTTCGCACAGATCTTGTTGCGCTTGAAATGAAGCTTGGTGTCATTGAATCGCGGCGGTCCACGTACCACCATATTGACGTTGACAGGCAGCTGCAGACTGGCGTTTCCCGTGCAAGGCAGATAGACCAGGAATGACTCGATTTCCTGTGGAACAAGACCCTTGTGAGGTATACTGAGTGTGGGTGTGCCCAAGGCATCCTGGTCGTTGGCGTACTCGATGCTGATTGCATAGGGCAGCTGCCGGGCAGTTAATGGAGTGCAAATTAGATTTTCAGTACACGAGTGAGGAGTAGGGTGCGGGAGTTGCAGGTACTTACCGGGTAAGCGATGAGACTCTGCCAGGAGAACTCCAGTTCATGCACATCTGCCGGCACCGGGACGGTGAAGTGCATTGCGTATGTGTTAATGGCTCCCTCGTGTACATAGAACAAATCCGCCTCCAGACCTGAGGATTGAGGGAGAGAAAGGAATGCAATGCAGACATAAAGAGAAAGTTTATTTCGCAATTTGCTTTGTTACAGTTTCTCCTTCCACCCTAGCGCCCCCTGATGCTTCTGGTGTTGTGCAAACTTTGTGCATTTTGTGTTTACTTTCCCCACAAGTCGCTGCCACTTTTGCGAGTTTCAGCGGAAATTGATTTTCTCGACAACAAAGGCGGGTAGGTAAACAAACCTCAGACACATTGACAGACACACACCCACAATGCGACAATATAATAATCGAAATCGAATCCTTCACAAGCAGCCATCGATTAGTGCTCGAGTTGCGTCAAATGTCGCGTGAAAGGGAACAAAATATTAAAAGGTGTCAACTGCTGTCTAACTGCAATGCGATGGCAACACTAACAACACCGACTCATAACAGCATTATCTGTAGCTTTGAGTAACTCTCCTAGAGATTGCCACCCTCTCACCAATCCCCAATCCCACCCTCACTGAAAGCCGAGCTGCCCATGTTAAAAAGACGTGAAATTAAATTTCTTTATCCGCTTTCATTCCGTGCTCCCAACCTCTAACCTTGTCGCATGCTATCGTTTGTTGTTGCATTATTTACTCATCGGGATCAGGCATAATCCGCGTCGTTTTGCATCGACTGTGTGCTTCTAGGGAGCAAATGCTGTTTACATTTTGGAACTCAACTTCACTGAACGGCTGTCGAGTCTTTCGAGTTCCCATTCTATTATGCGTCTGTGCCGGATGTTGAATGTTGCGTTTCCGGAGACGCACATACTCGTATACTCATACATAAATTCACTGCTAATGCTAAGTGTGCGTATACGAGTATGTTGTATGCTCGCATTTTAAATAGAACAAAGCGCTCGCTCAATTCTTAAAACAATTTCAAATCCAATTACAGAACAAGAAATACAATTTTTCTTTTACTCTTATCCAGGCTCTGTGCTGCGCCATCACGGTCTATCATTCAAGTACTCTTCTTGCCGCTTCCTTACTCCATTATCCGTCGCTGTTGCCATTTCGTTTTGTAGTCGAATTCAAAATTGTTTTGCACCCCGTCGAGTTCCCCTCGTCTTGATGGCCCTTCTATGCGTCAAAGTGTGCTACTTTTCTTCTCTGTTTCTGTTTTTTGTTTTCCGCTGATAAACTGCACAGTTTCCGTCGAGGCCAGGGCTGTAGTAGAGAGGGCTGAGTATACTCGCAAGTGTATTGCAATAGCGCACCAAGGCGCCTTCTTTTAGGTTATTTTCATTGACGACTTGCTCTTCAGATAGCGTTGCTTTCCTCAGGTCTGCCTGACCTCAAATTTGTTGCATTTAATGGAAATGAACTGCAGACTAAACAAAAACAAAAACATAGCATTCCTTTTATACAAGTATGCCTTCAACAAGTTGCCTTGATGGTATGCTTTTAATAGACGTACTCATATGTATTTACCCCTAAGGCAGTGCATTTGTGATAGCAAGAATTAATTCAGTTGTGCTTCGAAACATCCACTGGAGCTATGCAAATTCGTGGGCTTCGTCGAACAGTTGTTGTTTGCCTTTGCGATTGGCCTTTTTCATGGCATCAAACCACACGTTTGTCTTAAGCACTATCGACTCCAACCACCTGCATTCCTCCTGAAGTTCGGTTGTAGTGAAGATAAGTTTTCTAAGTGGGCTCGCCGCACGGATCCTACGCCAAACTTTGACCGTCTTTCATATCGCTCGCGTCGCATTGTCGCTAACTTTGCCGTTACCTGTGAAACTTTTGCCTCACTTATCTGCCTATTACCTCTCCTTCTCCCCCTATTCTACATTCTGTACTGCCACTCTTATCTTAGTACCATAATTATAATACGTGTGCTTGTCTGCATGGTTCAGCCGCACACACATGATGGTAGAGCCGCAGGCGAGGAATATCGAGGGTAAATCGGCATGTTTAGTTTACACAATGGTGGCGAAAAATATGCGTAAAAGATTGAGGCGGTAATTAGTGTCATTAGTTAGAAACAATTTTCAAAAGCATTACATTCCTCTACCAGATTTTACAGCAGACTCTCTTCAAAGGCTAGTTTGCCTCTCAAGAATTAATTTACCTTTAATCATTATGAATTGCTTCTCTATGGAGTTGAATGAATAATCGATTTAGAGCATTTTGCGCACATTCTGCTTAATTGGCACAATTTAAAAATCCGCATACCTAATTTTTGTTTCTCTTTCTACTCAGCAATAAAAGTAAAGCGGTCAATCGACCCTCAGGCGCAAAGAGCCGAACAACTCATGGACGCCAGGCAGGGGATATTAATGTGGTGCTTCTCAGACTGTTTTCTATTCATTAAAAATAATTTTCTTTCGCATTAACTTTTCATTCAAAAGGGAAGTGTAGCGGCACCTTCCGCAGCAGCTTCAGAAGGGAGGTTTGGGACCAGAAAATGTGCACATCAAAGTGAAACTTGTTGAAATTGCATTTTTACGCACCCTTGCACAGCGAATGTGCGCGGGGGGTAGTTGATAGTGGGTGGGGCTGTGGGGCAAATGGTGTTGCTGGCAACGCAAAGACGAAAATTGCTTGTTGTGCTGGCAACGTGTTTGCGACTGAGGGTAGAGCGGAAAATCTTTTACAAAAGCGTAAAAAATATTTAATTTTAATGTTGTCCCTGTCGTCACTTCATCGAAGGAAACATGAGAGAATCGTTCAAAGTTCGCAATTGGAAAGAAATCGTTTAACTTTGTTTACACTTCGTCATTTCAGCGACGCCAGAAAGTATGCAACATATTGTCATCGACAGGCAAATAACGAAAAATATTTCAGAATATGTTTTTATTGACGGAATGCATCAAAGAAATCACGATGAGGAGCAGGACTCGCAGCCATTCACAGCAAGTGAAGTTATTTGTGAAATGCGCGCCTTTAACCGCCCTTGGGTGGAGGCGGAGGAGACGGGCAGGCGTGACGCGTTTTCCGCTCCAAGAAACCGACGCCATGGAAACTGTAAGCAAATCATGCAACGGTATGTGCCACGAGGGGAGGGTCAGTTTGTTTGATTTCATGCCACTTGTTAATTTTCAAATGGATGGAACTGATGATGGGACGTTTGAGAGCTGGGGGTGTTAACTGGTCGTTAAAAACATAACGAGCGCAGAGGGAGGGAAACAAGGCAGAAAAGGTGGTGGATGGGGAATAAAACTATTGAATATATTCGAAGCGGCGAAAGATTGGAGTTTTTAATACAAAAAACTAGGTGAAAGAGCCTTTGAGCTATCGCTAATGCAATCCGAATTGCATTTGTACAGCACACTGGAAAGGGAACTGCACGCATCATGGATCTTGAATGCTACACCAATATAATCAATTGCACAAGTCTTTCAAATGGAGAGGCGAGCGGGTGGACGCAATCAAAGTCACTTTCGAATAGGATAAGGTCAAAGCAAAGGGTTCAATTGACCTGCTAGAATGCGTTTCTTTATTTATAGACACATTCCACAGTATGTACTCGTAAATCAACCATCACAGTAGGTTATTCCATTCATCATTAGTGTGGATTATTTTTATTCCATTAACTAATTGGAGTGCCGTGATTGGGCAACTCACAGCGAGGCCAACTCTCTCGCTTTGCATAATGAGGTGGAAGCATTTTGCTTCAATTACAGTTAAGTGCCGGAAAATGCTCAGCTGCATGACGAATGATGGACACAAATAGAGAGTAGAGAGTAGGCGAAAGTGGGCATAACTAGGGCAGCGGCTAAGAATTCGGCACCGTGCACCATTAATCAACGGGAGGGAAATCGGTAGGAAAACGACAGGCACGACGCCATTTCGACATGGCACGTCGTATGAATGACTATTAGCAGGAGGGTGGGGAGTGGTGAGTGGGGAGGGTGGGAAGGGCACAAGGTCGAGCGGCATGTTACAGTGCCAGGAGAGCGGCCTGCGCCATCAATAACGAGCGTTCGCGTGAAGCTACAAACAAGTAAACAAACAACAGCCGCCTGACTGCTTCGTCGCACTTTGAAGTCGTTAGTGTGGCGCTCGAGAGGAGGTGCCTCGTGCCTCAGACATCGGTGGTGGTGGTGGCACTTGCAGCTGTCAGCAAGTGGCACGGGTGGGGCAGACCGGAAATCGATTTGTGTGGATTTTGTTTTGTCGTGTTTTGCGCAACTTTTGCGGTCGTCATCGCCAACATGGTCAACTATAATTTCGGAACTATTAATGACTTCTAAATAGAAGCCCCCGCCATATAGACTTGTTTGTTTTCACATTCACGGGATCAATGAATTTGTCGAGCCGCTCTTTGACACACACCTATTAATCATGGGCTTGGGGTGTGTCTGCTTGTCCCCGATTGTTTTCAGTTCTAAACTTTTCCTCATTAAAGTTTCATAAAGAGATGTTGCCACGCATGTCCCAAACTGAAGCCAAAACAGTACTTACCCATCAGTTTCATCACTTCGTGGTGGCTAATAAAAATGTTCAGATAGCCACTGACCGACGGCGTTTGCCAAGCAGCGAGGGAAGCGCAGAGCAGCAGCAGAAAGCCGACGGCGGCCATAATGAGGAAGTAGGTGGGCGAGTGCTGACTCAATAGTGTGGGTGGCCCAGACGAGCAGTTAATAACTTGTCAGTGCATATGACGCCGCACTTGGCGTGCATTTCAACAGCTCGGCCTTATCGCACCCACAACACTTTGCTATATTTTTGCACTCCTCTTGCTCCCTGCACCTCTCTCTGACAGCCAATTTCAATGTGTGGCCATTGAGGCGCACCGGAAGCGCAGAATGTGGCGCTTCGTTGCCAGTCGCCAGTTGCGAATTGCGAATGTGTCCGTTCCGAATGTGTGGTTTGAGAGGGAAATGAGTATTGGGGCGGCACTTCCGTAGCTTGCTGTTCGCTGCTGTGATTTGAATTCGATTGCAGGAGTGGGTGATGGGGAACCCTGTCGTACCACAAACAGGCGACGTCGACACGGCACACAAAGAAGCGTTAAAATCAAATTCCAGTAGACGGGTGCCACAGTTTGGACTAACTGTTCCGGCCGCTCCGGCACTACAGACGCCACAAAGCGGACGAAAACTGTCTGCCAAATTTGGAACTTTTCTGCCTTTGCCAGCCGCCGGTGGACGAGCCAGCCGCACTTTTCGTTTGCGGGCTGCGCTTGTTCTTAACTTTTTGTGTTTTGCTTTCAGTTTTGTTTTTGTGGCGTTTTGTGTTCGTTGTTTTCGTTTTTGTTGTTGTTGTTGTTTTTGTTGCTGGGTTCACCCGTCGAGTGCAAGCAGCATCAGCACTTTCGCATCTGACTCTGGCAGACTCTCGTTGGCTTTTTATTGGCTGTGCCCCTGTTCCCGGCCTCTATCCACCCAGAGCGGCTTGCCTGTTGGTTTCGCCCGTCACTTTGTACACATGTCCTCCTAGTCGTCCATGTGAGTTGACCGTGTGTGTTCTGTCGGCTGTGGGCGGTTTGCTTGACCGTCTTTCCAGTCTACTAGGCTGCTTAGCTTTGTTTGTGCTGCTTCTTCCGTTTCCTTCCTCTGTTGGGAGCTTATGTTGGGGTCCCGTTTCGTCGAAAGTCCTGTTGAATAGAAAGTGTTTTAGTCGAGTTCATGTCAAGTTTTGGCGAAATTCATACAAATAAGTGTGAGAAGTGTGTAAGGACGTCTATCCATATTTATTATTCTTTATGATGTGATTGGCTGCAAGTTATTCTTCAAACAATTTGTGAATACAACGAGCGGAAGAAATAGTTTTGCTTGGAAAAAGTAATTAAAAACTTTCATCAAGATTAACAACTTGTTAAAGAAAAACACACTCAGTTCGCCAAACTTTGCATAAGCCTTTCTCCTACTATTCTCTATTCGACTATTTGTTGTAAACTTCACATATTTCTAATACTTATGCATTAATGAAACGAAAAATCGACAAGGGTTAAAACGTTAAGCAAATGTGTCTTACTTTCTGAGGTTTTCTAAATAATAATTGATAGATATAAAAAAAATATTTAAATTATTTCTAAATTTAATATTAATTGACCAGAGTCATTTCATGTGGCTATGTGCGAAATATTTAAAAGTTTTGTAATACATTCGATATTTAAATTATACCTGACGAAAGCTGACTATATGTTCTAGGGATTTGATCAGCAAAAGGAGGCGGTATGTTTGTCCGTAAATAAGTCCCTATAGATTTTAAAGACACGTTTGTCCTTTTGTATGGTCACTTAAGCCTTACTACTAATTAGTTGCACTTACTGTAGACAAAAAAACACTGATCAGAAAGTTTAGTAATCGGTCAAGAACAAAATATATTACATAAAAAAATATTAAGTGTTGTTGCACAAACAAGGGATTTGTTGTTCTTTAGGTGATTTTTTAAGCACATACAAGTTTGACTCACTCCTGTGTGTTTCGTATATTAATTACAATTTAAATCAAAAAACCAAGCATACAGTCTACAAACTTTACTGTACAAAAGTTTTTGCTAAAATATTTGTGGCTTTTCTGGCTGTAGATTTTTCGCTTTGTTGTTGTTTTTGTTTGCAAGTTGCGTGCAGGTACTCGAACGGAATTCCAAATGCAACAACAGTTGGCGCACCGGCAACCAGTTGGGAAGTCTGGCAGCCAGTTAAGCAATCAACCTCTGTGTCGGCATGGCACCACAAGCATGGCAGTCAAGTGCCTTCAAAATGAAATTGTTGCCAAGAAACCGCCAAACAGCCGCCATTTCCCATTCCTAGCGTCTGCCGTCCTTGCTGTCTGAGCCGACCACTCGACCCCAACCCCTTTTCCATGGCCGTTCATTCGTTCGTTCGTTTGTTCCACTTACTCAAAATGCACAGAAATCTCCATGGCAGCACATTGGAGAGTGTTCCCTGTATACATTTTGGCCGCAATAAAAATCGAAATCAAAAAAGTTTGTTGCCTCCGCTTTGGCCGCTCGCAGTTTTTAGTTTTTGCTTAATTTCGAATGCCTTTGATCAAAGTTGAGGCTGTGCACAATGCGAAGGGCACTGAAGAAGTTTGTGGCCTGTAGCTCAAGTGCAGCATGGATCAGCAAATTCGCAATGGAATGTTGTGACTTTAAATTAAACTTATCTGCAGTCTGATGGTGACTAAGCATGCAACACAAAAAGATCCGACAACTTACATGATTAAAGCGCAGATTCTACTGCCACTGCACTCGACTACGCTGCTCTATAAAGCCATGTGAACTAGTCATCGTGGAAGCCATTCAGCGAACTCATTAATAATTCAAAAGACAAATACCACAAAGCGCATATATGGGTGTGTGTGTGTGAGTGCGTGTGTGTGTGTGTGTATATATCTCTGCCCCTTAGACGTTTGTGTTTGCTGTGTTTGTGTTTGCTTTGCGAAAACTGTAGCTGATTTAAATGGAGCAGCGCGCAAACAGCCGCCAGCGCGCTTCTAAGAAAATCGGCAGCCAAGATGCGCGCGTGGCGAGCAGAACCCCCATAGTACCCATACCAGCCCATATCCAGCGTCGATAACATATTAACAACGTCAACTCAATCATAATCAGGACGTAGTCGAAACTGAAGCAGACGAGTCCCAACTGGTGGCTGCAGGGTGGGTAGACAAATAGACCCACGGAAATTTTCTGCTTAGTCATACGCATCATCAGTCAGGACGGAGTCAGCTGCCACGCCAACACCCGTACACCCGTACACCCTAGCCTTCCCCCACTCGAGTGACAAATTGAACGTTGCCATTGTCTTTGGATGCTTGGAGCTGGCAATGATGACAACGACGATGATGATAAAGATGTGAAAACTTTTCAATTACTTGCCCGTAGTCTAATGAATAATAATTTTCCGTTCCACCATTTGGTTCACTGCCAGATTCGATAGACCGCGTACTCCTATACACATACGTACAAGTCTCGCATTGTTATCTGATTTCTGTGAGCAGCAACGTCTCCAATAATATTGTTGCGATTCCGTATCAAATGAGCAGTACACAGTACACATTGTTTTATCTGTCTTCCCTTCTTCACCTCTACTTTGGAGTTACGGTAAATTAAAAAGCAGGCAGCGGAACACGGGACGCCCGAGGGCGTGGCAGGCTCGTTTCAATTATAAAATGGCTTTCGCTTCTAATTGAATCGTGAGTTTCAGTTAAGCAAAGTTAATATTTTATGCGCGCTTCGCTCTTGTTTCGATTGCCACAGTCCCCATTTCCCACTGAAGTTGGAGGCCACAATCCGCATATTGTTTGCTTAGGGAGGCGCTCTGCTAGAGCTGATGGTCCACCCCCAGAGCCGACTTTAAATGCCAGGCCGTGTATTTCTCTGTCTCTGTCTGCTTTTGCTTTGCAAATAGCCGTTGGCGGATGGCCAGTGCTTCAATACGTAGTGCTGTGCTTGTGTCTAATGATAAACTGGCAACATATTTGGTTCCTGGCCTAGAGTAGAGTCGACTAAATGCACTCGCAAAAACAACAGAAAATAAGGAAATCCAAGAAGTTCAGCTTAGCTACCGGGCAGCAAATGAAACTTAATCGCACTTGAAGAATTCTCGACAGGTTTCCTATTTGGCAAATAGTTCATAGACCCTGAAGGCAAAATATCGAGTTCCAGTTTAAATGAACTTGTTTGCTATCTATTTATGAACCTCATTGTGTTTAATTCTGTAATTTGCTATTTTTCCTCATTAACGTTAGTTTACACAGTTTGTCGCCCTGACCCGCATTATTTAAACTTTGATTACAAAAAATACAAAGCCAAAATGCCAAAAGTCCATGTAAAAACAACAACATCAACACACAACCCGACTTCATTAACATCGCGTAAATATTTTACATGCAATGTGAAAATAAACGAAAATCGCCAGACGCTAAATTCACACGAAATTGAAGCTTCCGCACACCAACATACCGCTCTGGCTAATGGCAGAATTTTATCGACGGCAGACAAATTTTCAGCAATAAATTTTTATAACTGATTAAAAATAACGAGCAGCATGCTTTTGTTTACCTGCCCGATGCTTCTGTTGTTGTTGCTGTTGCTTTTATTGTCGCTGCTGTTGTTTTTGTAATGCGAAATGATTGCAAATGGTGCTCTTTACTTTTTTGGTAGGCAATTATTTTGTTACAACGAAAATGGGGAAAATCGCCCTGGCGAAATGATTAGCGCAGGAGCGAAGTCAACAAATGTTCACGGGACAGCACAATGCTAACATTTTCCACTGGGGCTAGAATAGGCCTAAAATGCTCGTTCTGTTGGCTAATTTGTACAGGCAATTAATTTACATTAGGAATGGTGTTGGGGAGAAGGCTCGATGTGGCAGTTTGTGCTTTTGTTTCCCTGCAGCATTAGGCGGCCCAGCTCAGCAGGCTGAGCTGAAACAGGAACCCTACCCGAATTGTGGTGGCCTTAAGTGGGTGGGCGTCTGTATATGTGCCCGTAATGTGCAGTAAACATCAAAATTCCATGGGCACTAATAAAAGGCGACGTGTTGCCTGGACGGCTGAACGATAACGTTTAATTTGTGATGTTGCATATTGTGCAATTAAATTGACAGTTAGTGACATTTCTGTAAAA